ACATTTTTTCTTTAACCAATCACATTTGTATTTAGTAAAGAACAGTTGCATCAGTTGCACCAAAACGTAGGTAATTTTGTCTAAATAACGAATAAGTAATTATAGAGATCAAATAAAATTTATTATTGAGTTTAGATGTGATATTTTTTTTTTCGAGTTTAAAACTTTGACGATTTCCAGGATTTATGGGAGCAATTGATGAAGCATATCCTATAACAAGTCCTAACGGAGAAAATGCAGAACTGTATCAAAACAGAAAATAACATTTTTCTTTGAACTGCCAAATAATTAAAGGTCCCTCAATTTTGTCTGCATGTATTCAATAGACTAGATGTGTTCACGGATAATGAAATTTTACCAACGCAACCATTAAACAGGTTTTAGAATTTCATCTGCAAGTCCATGTTATAGGGGACAACACCCCATATTGGCAGCACTGGTGTGACTGTGGAATATTGTTTGGGAATTTGTTTGCAATACGCTTTACAAATAAAACCAAAATATTTTATAGATATTGTATCATACTTTGCTCACAACATTGCCTCTTAGCAAAATGATCTTTAGGTAAGCGATTAAATGTAAAATTATAACGAGGAAAATGGTTCCAAAGCATCAACAAGGTTTTGTAGGAAAAATTAAAATAATGACTCGATTCTTTTTATAAATACCTTACTTATCAAAGAATAAAAACAATAATAATCAAGTAGTTTCAACAAAGAAAATCTTTTTTATTGACGAAGTAAATGAAGAACTCAAGCTGAAAGAAAAAACTGTTATCTTTAAAATAAAAATAATCTCAAAGACCATAAAATGCTGGTTCCACCTCCGATCTATACAGATTTTGACCCTATCAATTTATTGCTACATGTTAACCGTTCTATCAAAAATAGGTTCTGTAGTACATTAGATAAATTCTAACTTGTGTTAACCATTTTCTTCTACTAATTTTGTTTTTTATCTCTATTAATATTTTATTCGTCCCGGTATTAAAAACTGTTGTCATATTTTTTAATTAATTTTCTATTTACTCCAAACATAATTAGTGTATGCTTGCAGCATTTTTAGAGTTTAATTCTTTTTTTTTTTTTTTAATTTTAGCAACAAAATTAAATAATAAAAACCTTGTGTTCTACATCTATGCTTTGCTGATAACCGCATAGCATATATGCCATTTAAATGTTAATCATCCTTTACGCCTTAGTAAGAGGCTGGGACTAAATAGAAGGTTGTAGGAGCATCTTTATTTTAATCCAGTGTTTTTTAATAAATTACCGGGTTTTAATAAAAATTAAAAAAATAGATTTATTATTTTTGTAACACTTTTTAATTTATTTTTGTAAGTTAATAGTTTAAAGTATAAAGTCATACTTCAAAGTTTTAGTCGAACTTCACTTAAGATCACTTCTTGCATTCCACCCTAAGAAGTTGACTTAATTTTAGCAAACAAAAATTATCATGGAAATAATTATAAAAATTGTCATAACTAATCGAGTTTAAAATTTTCTTATCTGATGAGAAAATATGTTTCCTAATTTTTCAATCATGCTAATTTTTTTAAATCTAATGACATAAATACAAAAATTCAAAACAAAATAGTTTAAAAGAAGGCTTGTTGTTAAAGTCTCTTTTGCAACAAAAAGTTTCAAAAGAGACTTTTAATAAATAAAAAATATTACACATAATCTTGCATATAACTTTATATAAGTTTAACTTATTACGTTGGACTAAGAATACAGAAGCTGTAGGCCCTATAAAAATGAAACAAGAACAAATTAAACAACAACTATTCAGAGCAACTTTAAAGTTCCTCAAGTTTTAAAAATTTCTTTTTTTGTTATAAAGTTTATAAAAAAAATACACTCATAACTTTATATTTTTCATTAGGGTTTTAGTGTGATCATGTCTAATTTAAAAGTAAATTATATTGCAAGGATATTTTGATAACCATTTAAATTTCTATTTTCTTTTTGTTTGAGTAGTTGCTCATGAAATGTTGGCATAGCTAATGAAGCTATGAATTAGCCTGTAATTGATTAATTTAAGACTTTATGTATTAACGTCAGTGTATATTCAATACATCAAATTTATGGTTTTCGTAATTTTTGACTGGATATGTTTTATATGAAAAAATTAGGCAGATAAACTAGGTATTAAGTGAAAGTTTGTTAAATCAAACCAATTGCTTTTTTTTTATTATTTAACTCAATATTCATTTCCGCATATATTTTCTTGATATCCTGAATTCAGTTTTAAAGATGCATTACAGAATTCATTTATATATGTTTAAAGCAGAAGTCAACCAGAATCAATCGTTGCGGAACTCTACATTCATTATTCTAGATTGGACATCATGCAATTATCGCTTTCTGTTGGTAAGTTTTCAATCAAAATATAAATTTTAATTCATATTCTGTCATGTCTATTTTATCAAATCGGATGCAATAATGCACTTTATAAAATGCTTTTGATAAATCAAGAAATACTCCTATGTAAACTTAATTTTTTTTAAACCATTAGCTGACTAGTTCTAATAACTAGAAATGCAACTTGTATCCCAAATTCTAGACCTTTTTTAACACAACCATGCTTTTTAAAAATATTAGAACATATTATGCTTAAAAGACTGTACTATTTCTTCAATAATAATAACATACTTTATAAAAAACAATTTTAATTCATATTGGGTCATTCTACTGGTCAGGTAATTGTTCATCTTGTTCATGATAATCTTAAGTCTTTTAATGATCTCAGCTTTTTGACACTGTAAATCATTATATTTTATTAACCAAATCAAAAAACTACTGTATTAAACACTCAACCCTAAATGGCTAAAAAGCTACCTGTCAAATAGATAGAATACATTTCTCATAATTACGGAAAAACTAACAATATGTAGTATCGTGTGTAGTACCACAAGCATTTATATTAGGACCGCTCTTATTTCTAATATGAATCAATGACTTAAGGAAATCTTGTAAAGTAATAAGCACAATTTTGTTTCCAGATGATACTAACATATTTTATGCTCACAATTATATAAAAACATTATTTAAAACTGTAAACAATGAACGACCATACCTTGCTGAATGATTTCGAGCAAACATTACAAATCTTTGTAGTAACAATTGCGAAATAAAAGGAGATGTTTTATTAAACTTTCTGGGAGAACTAATTGACAAAAATATAACATGGAAAGTTCATATAAAATATATTGAAGATAAAATATTAAGTAGTATTGATCTGCTTTATTGGACAAAACCTTTTTTCTAAATTCAAGTCGTTTAAAATTTTTAAATTTTTTCCTTTATTCTATCCTATCTTAACAACGCTAAAATTGCTTGCTGTAGTACCAATAAAATCAAATTGAAAAACCTTTTTAATATGCAAAAACAAGCAATCAGATTTATATCCAATTTCTAAATTTTATGTTCAAAATTAATAAAAGTATTTATTTTGTTTTTTTTTGTTTTTTAATTTTACAACTTTATATATATATATATATATATATATATATATATATATATATATATATATATATATATATATATATATATATATATATATATATATATATATATATATTATTCAAAAAAATTACTTTTTTCATATAAAAATTATTATTTTAGATTTTATTGCATAATAACTATAGCTTTTTAACTAAAAGTGAAAAACGTGCATTTTTACATGTTTTTTAATGACAGTTTTTTTTGGCAATATATTTTTATATATATTTTAAAACAATTATTATATATATATATATGTATATATATATATATATATATATATATATATATATATATATATATATATATATATATATAATATATATATATATATATATATATATACATATATATATATATATATATATATATATATATATATATATATATATATATATATATATATATATATATATATATATATATATATATATATATATATATATATATATATACATATATATATATATATATATATATATATATATATATATATATATATATATATATATATATATATATATATATACATATCATTAAAGTATAAATCTATTTATTTATTTTGTTTTAATCATATATTCGAGTATATAAAATAATATGAGTTTTTAATTGAGTTTCGATATATACAATGGAGGAAATATTGGTAATTTGTGTTTTGTGTAAAAAATCTACTGTTAATGATAAATATCATTTTGGATGTTATAAATTATAGGAAAATGATCTGCTCAAGATATGCAAAACATGCACTGGTATAAAATTTTTTATTTAGTTTTTAATTTGTCTTTAGTTTGATTATATATAAATCAAATTTATAAGATTTATTCTTTTACTTAATAGACTCAATATAAGTGGTATTTCTTATCAAGAAAAAGTTGTTATAGTTGAAAGAAGTGTCTTTGTTACACTATATTTGCATTATCTATTATGTATGTGTATAGATATAAATATGTGTGTGTGTCTGTTTGTGTGTATATATGTGTAATAATATATGTGTATATTATTTAGCTTTTCAAAAATTCACAAAGCAATCAATTTGTGAAAGTTCATTATCAGCATTGAAAGTCAATTTTTGTGGGTCAAGTAAGTCTAATTTATGTCACTGTTATTGTTAAAAATTGCTTATTTCTTTCATATATAATTTAGAAAATTGAATAATAAAAAGAACTTTAAATGTATAAGTATTCAAACATGATGTCAAAATTCCTAAAAAAAAAAAAAATTTACAATTTTTTTGATTTCAAGTTTTTTTAGTAATTATTGCCTCATTTTTATTTTAAATTTTACCAATATTATGTTAACTTTATTAAGGTTATATTTTGTAGACATTAGAAAACATAATTACAAGATTCAACTTAATTTTAAAATAAAAGGGAACCTTATGGACCAAGATTTGATGTATTTACTGACAAATCAACAAAACGATGATCTATTGTTGGCTTTAGGCAAATTCTCTGACAATTTCAAGGTAAGTATTATACCTTATATGCAAGTAAGAAATTGTTTATCTATGTTTAAAGTTGTTTAAGTTGCTTAATATTATTTTGAAATAAAGAAAAGTTTAATTTTTTTTTTTTTTATTTAGTATAATAATTTTACATTTAAAGTCTTGGTCCCTAAAGCAATATTGTATCTGTTTGCTGAATTGGAAAGAATCTCAAGAAATTAAGTATTGTTTATTAAATTGCAACATTCTGCATAATAATCAAACCTTGTAGTATCTTATGATAAAATCTTGTAATTAAGCATAATTTAATTAAGCATTAAGTTGATTTCTAAATGAAACCAACCAATCATCATTATTATTCATATTTTTAACATTACTAGTTTAATATAGACATGGATAGGCAGAAGTAAAAAACCTTTTCTCAAAGGTGTCATTAAAAATAAAAATGAAATCAATAAAAAATCGCCAACCTCGAACACTTTAAGGTCAGTATTGCCAAATGCCTACCCTAACTCAGAGAGCTATATATATATATATATATTAGGGTGGGTCATAAATTTTTTTTTTAGAGTTGCTAACCTGGCTATGGTCTAGAAAGTGATTTTTTTATGTACTAATTTAGGAAAGTATTTACTTTTATGGATTGAACAACGTCTTCCACTTGCAACTATAATTACAAAAGTTAGCAGGCCCTATTATTATTCAAAAAAAATATTATATATATATATATATATGATTTTTAAAAAATGTATTATACTATATATATATATATATATATATATATATATATATATATATATATATATATATATATATATATATATATATATATATATATATATATATATATATATATATTATTCAAAAAAAATATTTTTTTCATATAAAAATTATTATTTTAGATTTTATTGCATAATAACTATAGTTTTTTAACTAAAAGTAAAAAACGTGCATTTTTACATGTTTTTTAATGAAAATTTTTTTTTGAAATATGATTTTTAAAAAACAATTATTTTTTTCGAATTTTTTATAAAATTTCGCTTCTTTGGAGTACCAGGTTGACCTACTTTTAAAAAACTTTTTTTCTCCAAAATATTAGGGTACCGGTAATTTTCCCAATAAAGTTGCGCCCTTTAAATCACAGTCATTCTCATATTTAATAGTATCAATATTAACAACTATTAGCAATGTTTAGAGCCTGTAACAAGAAAAAAAAATTTTTGACCCACCTCAATATATATATATATATATATATATATATATATATATATATATATATATATATATATATATATATATATATATATATATATATATATATATATATATATATATATATATATATATATATATATATATATATATATATATATATATATATATATATATATATATATATATATATATATATGTATATATATATATATATATATATATATATATATATATATATATATATATATATATATATATATATATATATATATATATATATATATATATATATATATATATATATATATATGTATGTATTATTTTACAAGGCTGAAGTATTGTTAAGTTCTTACTCTTTACAAAGGTATGATTTTCAAGATTGACTAATGAAATGTGTAATTTTATAAAATTCAAAACTAAATTTGGTATTAGTTGATATTTTTTTAATTAACTGATTAATCCAGAAATAAAGCAAGATTAAATTTTCATACATTTTAAATTTTTTACTGATTAGTATTGTTGAGATTGCTTCTAGGTTATACTAGATTGCATTAGTCCCATTAATTGGAAATTCCTAATAATTTGTGCAATTTTGTAATATACTATTGGCAAAGCCAAAGGCAATCAGGTTTATAGATTGATTAAATGATTGATTTCATTTTAGAACCAACAAGGTAGTGAATAAATTGTCTGATGAAGACGATGATTTTTTTTAGGTAATAATTTTTTTCTACTTTATTTATTATTTATTTGCTGTGTCTAGACAGTACATTTGAAGCTCAATAAGTTTAATCCCATTGGGCTATAGAAAAATATTCCACTAATCAAAATCTGTTTCATATATAATGCAACTTTTACTTGCTGGTGGTTCCTCTTACTGCCTGTTGTTACTTTTTAAATAAATTATAACAAATTGTTATCGTTATTATTGTATGTATATTTTTTATTTTTATTGTTTTAAATAAAAATCTGGTAGTAGGAACAAAGGTTTCTTGATTTTTTTATTGAAAATTGATTTCTTTTTTTATTTTTTATGCTTAATAATTATATTATGACATATTTTAATTGTTTTGATTATATTAACTTTATTATGACTCTTATAATTTTTTTTTACCACTAAGATCTTTTGAGTGTTAATTTTAGTGAAAATGAAAACAGTTCTAAAGACAAATCATTACAAATAGCATAGGTTGATCTCTATTTAAATGATAATCAACTAGTATGTAAAGTTATTTAAAAAGAAATAGTTACATTATTTATGTTGTTGTCTTTAATAGGATATGACGTTTCGCAGAAGAACAACTAGTAATTTTAAATTATAGCATTTAGAAAAATAAAAATAATGTAGTTGAAATATTATAAAAAATAAAAAGAATTTGACAAATACACAAGTTGGTTAAAATATATTTTTGTATTTTTATTACTTAATTGATTTAATAGGAATATATAGTTTTGTACATTGGTATTTCAACACCTTTCTAAATGCCTAGTCATTAGAAAGAGTTCAATGATGTTCTTATAATACATATTAAATAGAAACAATATTTTATTATTTATATAGCAATACATATTTTTAATTATTATCCAGCCTATAATAGAAAAGGAAGGAAGAAAACTTTATACTTAGATAATACTTTGATAATTTTATCCAATATTTGACGGAAAACATATATCCACCTGGTCTTGGTAAAGATGATAAACGTTCGTTTCGAAGTGTAGTGAAAAAATATTGTGTAGAAAGTATGATGGTTAACAATAAAAAATTTTTACATTTTTTTAGCGAAACTGTTTTTTAAGTTGTTAATTATTTGTAGATGGTAAGCTCAAGCAAAAAGTGACTGTTTGTGGAAATTCTATATATGCAGATGTTATTGTGGACCAAGAAGTAAAAACAAAATTATTTACAGCGGAGCATGGTTAAACAAAAATAAAAACCAAAATTATGGAAAAATATTATTGGCCTAATATCAGCGGAGATATTATAAAATGGGTAAAATGTTTACTTTTCAAAGGGAAGTTAACTTTTAACAATTTTACTTCTACAGAATTCCTGATTTTCAATGTTTAAATATTGTTTTTATAAATTATTTAAAATAACTTAATTGTTTTAAATCCTTTCTTTTTTTTTTTTTACAAGTTATTTAAAATAGCTTGACTGTTTTAAATCCTTTAAAGGATTATTAGGATAAAATCCTACGTCTACTAAGATATACACCCTACACCAAGATATATACCCTATTTACTCTATACACCAAGAAATACACCCTATAAGATATATACCCTAAATACCAAGATATATACCCTATACACAAGATATATACCCTATACACCAAGATATACACCCTATAAAATCCAATGTCTACCAGATATACACAGACAACAGGGTGACTGATTTCTCTATATTACATATGTTTTTTTATCATAGTTTTTAACTAAAGGTTTACTAGTATGTATAAATATTATTTATCTAACAAGTAAAACAATGCAAGCATTGTCAAAAATCTGGTCAGCTGCTTTCTGTATCAGAACTTTTACATTCAATAAAGGTACAACAAAATAGCGCTAGTATAAAACAAAATTTTTCTATTGCCTATTTTTCATACTCTATAAATATAGATTTTTGTAAAATAATTAATTTAATAAGAGTTTTAGCTAAAATACTGACTAAACGAAATACAGCAGCAATATTTGAGCTAATTTTTTATACTACACGAGTATGGGAAATTGTTGGGATAGATTTTGCTGGCCCGTTTACGGAAACATCAATGGGAATAAATGTTTTATGAGCTGCACAGATTTATTTTCAAAGTGGCCTGTTGCTAATGCATTGCCATATAAGGAGGCTTTAACGGTAGCAAAGGCGATAATTGATTTTTTTTTTTTTTTAATTTTAATTCACCCCATCAAGGCCGAGAAGGCCACTACAGACGAGGAGGCTACTTATTTGTGGCTATAACCCTCTCTCAACTCTATAACTCCGAAATACGAACCTTGACAAACAAGGCCGCTGCGCGGAGAAACGAGTTGAGCGCGGTTCTACCAAGGAGGTGGTGACGATCGAACTTGGAACCACTCGTTTATGAAGCGAGCGCTTTACCACTACACCACTACCGCATATATAAGTTAGTAACTACATTTGGGTTTCCACCTCTAATACTTTCCGATAATGGTACAGAGTTTTGTAATGAGGTAAGGACTTACATATATATATAAATATATATATATATATATATATATATATATATATATATATATATATATATATATATATATATATATATATATATATATATATATATATATATATAACTTTAATTTAAAACAAAAGTACTTCGATGAGTTTACTAGATTTTTACTATCTCTCTAGTTAAACAACGAAATGTATAGGTTGTTAGGAATAGAGAGACAAAAAACGGCTGTCTATCATCCTCAAACAAATGGCCTGGACAAAAACACAAACAAAAATATAAAAAGGCATTCATACTCATTTTGTGTATTTTTAAATTCTGCACCGGTCATATAAAAACGTTGAAGTTAAAGCATAGTTTCAGTCAATTTGTAACAAAATTATTTATTGCATTAATTTTTATTTGTTTTTAATGATATTTGCAACATTATTTCATGTTTCTTTTTATCAATTAAAAGACGTTATATTACCCAAAAAACCACTACTATTTTATAGATAAAATGCGATAACTCTATTCCACATCGATGGTTTCACTTGGAATGTATTGGTTATGCTAAAAAAACAAGTGCTTTATTTACTTGATTAAACATTCTCTTGCTAATGTAAGTTGTTAATATAACTGATTTTAGTTTTTTTTTGGTTTATCAACTTTATACCTAATTTCGTTAATATTTTTAAATAAATAAAACGCCTTCATAAATAAAAAATAAAAATTATTTGGATTAATATCATGTTTTTAGATATGACTTCCACGAAAAGAGTTAACTTCGAAATAATTGAAAACTTTGATTCTTAAAAAATAATCTTTTCAAAAACGTTGTTATTGTTAATTATTTTTCAAAACCCGGTCATATTAAGAAAAAAATTTAACAAAAATTAATTATTTTTTATTATGGAAAATATTTTTATTCAGAAATGAACTCGATTAAAAACTTATATAAAATTAATTTGTATAAAAGTTAAATCCGATATATCAATTTTTACTTAAAATAACATATCCTTCTCGTATAAGAATCGTATTTGACAAAGAAGTTACCCAGCAAACATGTAAGCGTTGAATTAACGTTGAAAACCAGTCGCAGCGTAGAAAAAGCGTTACAGTCACAAAAACAACGTGCTTTCAACGTTGAATCGATGTCTGTTTTTGTATACTAAATCGCGATAAATTGAAACGTTGAATAAGCGTTGAAATTGTAACGTAATTTAGCCTCTCAAAATAAAACGTTTATTCAACGTGAAATAAACTTACGCAAAAAGCCACTTTATAAACGTTTCGAAGTATATTCTTTATCAACGTTAAAAACAGACCGCTTTTTTAAACGTTACATTTTCAACGTTGAATAAGCGTATAAATTTAAACGTATCTTATCTTCTCAAAAAAATGCGTTTATTAAATGTTGAAAATAAGTACGCAAATAATCACTGTAAAAACGTCGCAAAGGTAATGGTCTATCAACGTTAAACATTAGCTGCTTTTTCAACGAATTTAAACTATTTGAAAAACAACACTTATTCAACGTTATTTCAACGTTGCTTGAAAATGTGGTAATTAAAAAACGTTAAAAAATTATTACTTTGCCAACGTTAATAAAACGTTGTTTTGACAATGTTGAGGATGTGGCACATAAAAAATTATTGTCTCAATAACTAGCCATTACAAAAATAATTTGACGTAATGGAAAGGCAAGGAAAACTTGATTGAATGCATGCTTATGGTATAAAAAAAAATTTAATAAAGTTATATTTTATAGCCTATTTTTTATTGCGACTAATTTAAAACTTTTAGATTTTATATCAAAATGTATATAAAGTACATAAATCTCAGGGTAAATTCGATTTATTTAGCTTATTTTTGTCAATGTTTAATTTAGTTTTAAGTTGACGATTTTAATAAAATGCTCAACTTTTTTAAAAGTTTATTTCTTAGTTAGAAATAGTACTTAGTTTTAATACGATTCACATTTATAAAATATTATCAAAATTAATAAAACATAATAAGTCAGACTAAATTCAGTTTTTTAACAGAATAAATTTTTTAATTTATTCAAAAATTATTACTTATACATACATACATATATATATATATATATATATATATATATATATATATATATATATATATATATATATATATATATATATATATATATATATATATATATATTATATATATATATATATATATATATATATATATATATATATATATATATATATATATATATATATATTTTTTTTTTTAGTCGATTTTTTTTTTTAGACAATGTTAGTCGTGATACAATAATACAAGTCGTGATATATAATAATATAAGTCTGATACATATATAATAATATAAGTCGTGATATGTAATAATATAAGTCTGATACATAAAAATATTTAAGACTTCTACAAGAAAAGAAAAGAAAAAAAAAAAAAAAATGAGTATATATATATATATATATATATATGTATATACAATTCAGCGTACTAACAATATAAGACTAGGTTTCCGAAAGAAGATCAGAAGGATCTTATCACCGGAACCTTAAAAAAGACATAATGCAAAGATTTAACATAATGCAAATATGCAATATACTAATACAATATAACATCATGCAAATATACAATATAGTAACATTTTAATACTCAATATGCTGAAGATTTGAAAAATACATTTTACATAAATTTTTAGTAGAATTTTAGAATGTTGTCCATACAGAGAATGAAGTTTTTTAATTTAGTTTTAAAAACAGGAAGAGTAGTAGAAGGGTCAAAATTTGGTAATACTATTTTATTCCAAAGATGGGGTGCACGATATGCAATACAGAATTGATTGAACTTCGTTTAACAAAATGGTTCATTTAGAAAACTATTACTTCTTAATGTGTATTTATTTATTGGTTTTAAAGAAAAAAGGTCATTGAAAACAAATAAAGATAAATCGTTTTTCCACATAAAAGTAAAACATAAAACATTAAATATGTTAAGTTTATAAACAACTAGTACATTCATATAATCAAAAAAATATTTCGAACGTGAAAAGCGATACGCATAATTAACTACACGGATTGCATGTTTCTGACGGCGATAAAGATGTTGTAATTTACTTTTCTCCGTACTTCCCCAGGCTATGATTGCATAATTTATATAATTATGTATAAATGAATAATAGAGCTGGGTTAAGTTTTTTTTGTTTAGATAATTTCAAGCTTTGTATAAAATGCCAATATTTTTAGAAACTTTGGTGCTTATATGATCAATATGCTTTCTCCAAGTAATATTTTCATCAAGATAAACACCTAAGAATTTTATAACAGTATCTCTTTTTATTATAGTTTCATCAATGTAAATTTGAGGCATATTATTTGTTAAAAATCGTTTTTTTTGCGCAGGAGTGAAAAATAATCCATTTTGTTTTGTTAATATTTAAAGTTAATTTATTAGCTTTGAACCAGTTCGAAATGTGTTTGAGTTCTTTGTTTGTAGTTGAAAAGAGTTCATAAATATCAGTATGGGATAAGAAAAGATTAGTATCATCAGCGAACATTATACTTTTCAATTTGGAAGCTTTGTTTAAATCGTTTACATAGATTAAAAATAGTAGTGGTCCGAGAATAGAGCCTTGTGGAACACCACAAGTTATGCCCAGGGGTTCACTTTGATAACCATCATTACTATACACAAGTTGCTTTCGATTTGTTAAATAGCTTTCAAGCCATTTTAAAATTTTATTGTTTAAACCATAATATTTAATTTTTTGGATTAAGATGTGGTGATCGACCGTATCAAAAGCTTTTGATAGGTCAATAAAGACACCTAGTGTGTATTGAGATTTTTCAAAAGATTTAGAGATGTTATGTATAAATTGAATGATGGCATATACAGTTGAGCTCCCTTTTCTGAAACCATACTGATTGTTATATAATAAATTGTTGTAATTAAAATAATTGTATACTCTATTGAAAATAATTCTTTCTAAAATTTTAGAAAATATAGAAAGAACAGAGATAGGGCGATAATTATTGATATTGGATCTGTCGCCTTCTTTATGGAGAGGGGTAACTCTGGCAAGTTTTAAACGTTCAGGAAAAATACCTTGATGAATAGATGCTCTGAAAATTTTGAAAAGAATATTTTTTAATTGTTCATAGCAATCTATAACAATGTTCCCGTTTATTTCATCTGCACCAGGTGCTTTATTTTTTTTTAAAGATTTAAAAGCTTTCTCAAACTCATCAAATGATAGTTCAGCAGATAATTCTTCAGAGGAAATATTTTTATCAAAAGGTAACAAAAAATCATAAAATGAGGTCTGAGTTTTTTGTATTTTACTTGATAAGATTGATCCAATTTCAGTAAAATATTTATTGAATTCATGAGCTATTATTTGTTGCTCATGCAAGCTATTGTTATCGACTTTAAGCATTTGTGGCAAAGAGCTTGAGCATGTTTTTTGTTTTCCTGTAATTTCTTTTAATATTTGCCAAGTGCGTTTTGAGTCATTTTTAGCTTTAGTAATTAATTTTGAATAGTAGTTTTTTTTTAATTTTTTTCGGATTTTTTCGAACAGATTTTTGTAATCTTTGTAAATTTTTTCGCTATCTGGTGTTTTTGTTTTTAGATATTTTATGTATAGCCTTTGTTTAGTTTTGGATGATTTTTTGAACCCCTTGGTAATCCAGGGATTATCAAAGTGTTTTGTTTTTAATGTAATTGTAACAATTGGAAAATTAGACTCGTAAACAGAGATAAAAGTTTCATAGAATTTTTCATAAAGGTTGTTTGCATTTTCATTAAAATTTAAGTGTTTCCAATGTAATAATGAGAGCTGATTTTAAAGGCCTCAATGTTTGATGATGTATAAAAACGTTTTTTTACAATTTTATTTAATTTTTGTTTAGGCAGTTGGTCGGTGTTTATAGTTAGAAAAATAGGAAAGTGGTCCGAAATATCCGTTTTTAAGATACCCAATTTTATATCATTGTTGAATAAGTCTGTGGTAATGATATTATCCAGCAAAGTTGCTGAATTTTTTTTATTCTTGTAGGGCGATTTATTAAAGGGATTGCTCCAGATTCAAAAATTGTATCATAAAAATTTTTAACTTTGTTATCGTCATTGTAGACAAAACATTTCATATTAAAATCACCAACAAGAAAGTTTTTTTTCTTTTCGTTGTTACCTTTTGCAATAACATTTTGCTGTAAAAACATGCTCAAGTTCTCGCTCACGCCATCTGGCGGTCGATAACAACAGCTAACTAAAATATTTTTTGTTCGTTCATTAATAATCTCAATTGTTAATATTTCTCCATCGCCGTCAGAAACACTAAGATCATTTCTACAACAATGCTTTATATCTTTATGAATGTAAATTAGAACTCCACCACCGCGCTTATTTATTTGTCCGTTTGAGGTTGGCCGTTTGAGGTTGCCCAAGTTTCAGTTAAGCAAATAATATTAAAAAAGTACTTAGTTTCCTCGAGTAAATTTTGGAATTTTTCAAAATTACAATTTATGCTTCTGATATTTACATGCAGAATTCTAATTTGATCATTGTTAACATTCTTAAATAGAATTCCTTTTAATTCATTTGGATAGTAGTAAGAACATTCTATTTTTGTATCATGGAAATAATTAATATCTGGGTCGGAGTTTTCGTGTAGTGAAAA